CCTCTCTTCCCTATGCTTGCTCATGTTAACCATATTCCCATACAATCACCCATGCCTAGGAATCATCTTGAAGTCCTTCTCATTTATCCCCAATAATTCCCTGACCTACCTTCTTCCCTTCCCTTCCCTCCCCTCCCCACTCCTTTCTTTCCCTCCCCTCTCTGTCCTTTCTCTCCCCTTTCCTTCGCTTTCCCTTCCCTTTCCTTCCCTTCCCTCCCCTCTTTCTCTTCCCTCTCCTCTCCTCGCTTTTCCTTCCCACCCCTTCCCTTCCCTTCCCTCCCCTCTTTCTCTTCCCTCTCCTCTCCTCGCTTTTCCTTCCCACCCCTTCCCTTCCCTCCCCTCCCCACTCCTTTCTTTCCCTCCCCTCTCCTTCCCTTCCCTCCTCTCTCCCTTCCTTTCCCTGTTCTTCTCTTCTCTTCCCTTCCCTTCTCTTCCCTCCCCTCTTTCCCTTCCCTTCCCTCCCCTCTTTCCCTTCCCTTCCCCCTTCTCTCTCCCCTTACTTCCCATTCCCTGACCTACCCTCTTCTCTCTCCTTTCCTTTCTTCTCCTCTCCTTCCTTTCCCTCCCCATTCCTTCCCTTCCCTCCCCTCTCTTTCCTTCCCTCCCCTCTCTTTCCCTTCCCTCTCCTCTCCTTTCCTTTCCTCCCCTTCTCCTTCCCTTCCCTACCCCCTCTTTCCTTTCCCTCCCCCTTCTTCCCTTTCCTTCCCTTCCCTGTTATTCCCTTCCCTCTTCTCGCCTTCCCTTTTCTCCTCTCTCCTTCCCTTCCCTCCTCTCTCCTTCCCTTTCCTTTCCTTTCCATTCCTTGTCCTTCCCTTTTCTTTGTTTTGCTCCGCCCTACCCTTTGGCCTCTCTGAGCTTCTCCCCATTGGACTAAAAGCTCCTCAAGAACAAGGACATGTTCTTATTTGGATAATTTCTTTTCATCCCCTGTATTTAGTGCAGTGCCTGACTGGCACTCATAGGCATTCACATTTATTCAAAAGAACAGAAATCCAAACTTTGGCAGGAAAAGGTTATTTCTGACAAGTTCCACACTTGTAAACGATGCATCTGGAGCAAATAGGTTACCTTCTCTTTATCTCTGTTTCCTCATCCATAAAACTGAAATAAAAATAGAACTGTTTTCATAGTGCTGTTGTAAGCCTCAAGTAAGTCACTACGTGTGAAATGCTTAGCGCAGTACCTGGCACATGGTAAACAGTCAACAAATGTCAGCTCCTGTTGCTATTATTATTGTTGTACTAAGCAGTTGCAAGGAGCCAAAACCCACTCCAACTGTACAAGGATATAAAGGAATTCAGTGCAGGGATGCAGAGGGTCCTCAATGGGACAGGTGACAACTGCAGGGCCCGCCCATCTCTCTTCTTCTCTCTCTTTCTCCCTCCACCTGCATGGTAACTTACTTGCACTTGCTTCCTTGCTTGCTTTTTTTTTAACGGCCTCACCTCTAACTGTAGCTTGCATGTGGCCTTGGTTTGCTAAGGGACCAAATCTGGCCCCAATTCCAAAACAGCCTTCCAGTTCAAAAGCCTGGCAGCAATCAAGTACAATCTCTCTCTCTGTCTCTTCGCGCATTTTCAGGAGACTCAATCTCATTTTCACAGGCCATCCGGAACGTTGGCTGCCTCTGAGACAAGTGTTCCCCTTTAGTCCACCCAGCTATGGCCCTGGGAAAGACTCAACCTTCTGCTGCCTTGCTAGGGACAGGCCACTTGACTGATGAGCAGCCACAGGACCCTGTTGTACATATAGTGCTTCAATCAAAGTGCACCTTTCCCTCTGGTCCTCACCCAGACGGGTGAGCACATCAGCTTTCATCTTTAGTTCTTGTGCTCTTCTTGGCTTTTTAAAATTGTCTTATTTTTCTTACAGCTCAATCTGGTTCTTAATCCTAAACCTTTTGGGCAATCCTTCTGGGTGGGAACTCACTTTGTGTACTTGCGAATATCAAGCTGCTAATCTTCACACAGCTATAGTTTGCTTTATTGTGATATTTGACACTGACATTTTCCATAACACTGTGAAGCACTCACATCTTGATCTCATTAGATCCATGTCACTTTGTTCTATGGATAAATCCCTTCATTTTTGGCCCTTGG